CGCCCCATACCCCCGTTGATCATGGTGGCTCGGCGATCCCCGTTTTCCCCGTGATCGGAAGCCTCTTCCACCCCCGTGACGGCCACACCAGGGATAGACGGCTGCGGACGCCCGTATAATTGCGAACTCCTAAGGTCTGGCTCCGACTTTTGGCGCGGTCGTCCAGCCACGTCAGACGGGTAGCGCTTTCAACGTTTTCGCGAATTGAGAATTGAGGTCGGCGAGATTAGCCCAGATCTCAGGCGAATGGCAACCCTCGAGCACGTAGGTGGACAGCCGCCTACGCAGCTTTTTTGGACACGCCACTAAGAAAAATAAACCAAAATCAGTCACTTTTGGTTTCCTTAAGCTCGACTTCTCACTTAGTTACCTTAGTTTTGTACAGTTTTAAACACTCTAGTTCTAGTTGCTTGCGTTGGCTGTACTGACGATCCCAACTTTTCACCGCACGCAGGTTGAATTCGTCCCACTGTACAGCCTCTGCCGCGACGCCTTAACGGCCCTTCGACGTCGACGTCGGCTGCGGCGCGCGTCTGTGCACACGTGTGCAAGCGTGGTCTCGCTGTCGCCCGTCTGGCGGGCGCAGGCTGTACTTTTTCGATCGCCGTTATTTTTCTCGATGTTCACTCTGTGTACTCGATTCTGCTCAGATTTTGTTCGCCTAGGTTGTGCAGGTATTCATTTCTGCCTAACACAAGGTATGAAATGAATAAAGACCAAATCCTACCTCTCTCTCTATACTAGCGGGCAGTAGCCTCGCACTCGCTGCACTAGCGGGCCTGGGTCACGCACCAACTACATCATCGGGCCTTGGCCTCGCACCAACTACATTAGCGGGCCTTGGCCTCGCATTTCTTGCACTAGCTGGCTACAGCCTCGCGCTTCCTGCACTAGCGGGCTACAGCCTCGCGCCTACTGCACTGCCGGACCTTAGCCTCGCACTAACTACACTAGCCCTCTAGGTTAGGGTGAACCTCCGACATTTCCGATGTTTAGCACATGTAGGTAACCGCCCGAGGATATAAAGTCAGCATATTCTCTTCATCACTTGATTGTCTCCTCTTTATTGCTAGTTTTATCCACTTATTCCTTATGAGTATTCTAAACTAAAGCCCTGCCGCGCTGCGTTGTAGCCCTAGGGCTCAGCTGGACACTCATTTGTTATCACTCGCGCTCCTTGCTCGACACGTCTACTCACTCTGATCGTTGTCCAAAAAAGTGCCGGCTCGCTCGCTAGCGAGCCGTGCGCATGCTTCGGCCGCTCAACTTCGACGTTAGCTTTCGCAGCCTCGCTTCGGAGCTTTCGCTCTTCGCCGCCGAAGTGAAGCTGCGCTCTCGAAGGCAGTGTTGAGCAACCGATCAGCAACGCACGGTTGCAGCGGTGGCCGGCGGTTAAATTTAAACTAGGCTCATATCTACGTACTTATCCTAATGAAGCACAGGCTATGCGGTGAACGGCTCCTTGCCTTACAGTGCTACTTAAACTTAATTTCAATATCGACGGCTTATTGCCCCTAACAAATCTATTACCTTATCCTATTACATTTGATGCTTATAAACTATCGGACTTATCAGATAATACTGCTAGTGGCTCCTTGCCATGACCTTGGCGACGCAAATGCCGGCTCCTTGCCGTGAGTTTGCAACTGTGGAGGGGCTACTTCTGGTAGCCGCCTCACATTATATATGTGCGAAAATTGTTCAAATTACCTAAACGTGGAAGTCCTATCGTAAATCAATTTTTAATCTATGTAAACAAATTAAAATATGTTGTTTTATGTTTTAATATTATTTTATTTAATATTATTTACATTTATGACAGAAGCGCAAATACATTTAGTTGTATATTCGCAAAATATATATCTACACTTACGCATAAGTATATATGCTTTTAGTTATACAACTGTAATATGAAACTATTGTATTATTGATTCGATAAATGATCTTTTGCATTCAAATGTCGCTGAAAGTGCGCGCAATGAAAATATTAATTGAACTTTGAAAGGGAGCTATTGTCAGGCGAGACAAACGAAATTGCCATTCACTTTTCAACCAACCATCTATTTGTGCGGTCGTCGATTCTCGATTGCGATTACGATTCTAAGAATTTGCGTTTTTCTTAGATATAAAACAAATAAAAACTTAATATTCGTTTTAATAAGTTCCAGTGCAACTAAAATTAAACAATTCTTCGGTTATTCTAGTGCTTTGAAGAATATTTAATGTGACAATCTATAATCGGTTATGCCGCGTTAAATCGGCAATGATTTCCCGCCAGCGCTAGTGACCATTTGTGTGTGTATGTGTGTCTTCGCAGCGGAACAACACGAGAGCCTTTAGAGAGAGTCTCGCAAAATTCTCAAAAGAGCTCGCATGTGAGCAGAAAACGAATGGGATATTTTTCTTTTTCGCTAATCACTTGCACACGAGCGTTGCAGTCAGATCCTTGCGATAAAAATGCGTGTACAGTAGAGAGAAGTTTTTGTTTCAAAAGTTAATTGTGTTCAGAGAGTAAAACATTGTCATGAGAACGAGAGAACGTGGCATTCGGATGCTGTGTTGTTTTTGTTATTTTTTCCTACTCAGACCATTTTTTGATGGTTGAAAAATTCCTTTGTTCTCTTTGCTAGAGAGCTAAGTCTTTAACAAGTGTAAATTAAAAACTAAACTATTCTCTTTCAGAGAATAATTAAATCATTTTGCGACCACTTGTCTGTGAATTATCGGAATTGATCACAGAGGGCATGATATTTCGAGATACGCAATTCAAAATATCTATTAGATCATTTATTTGCGATGCGCCGGCCCGCGCCTTCATTTGGGTGTGAAATACCACTCTGAGTTTTCCTCATGCAACTATTGCGTTCAGAAGGGAGAAACTCTTAACAGGCGAGTAAGATCATGTAATCCTCCATCAACCAGAGCACCACAACATACAAAGCAAACTCATTCTTGAAAATTTGCGATTGATTTAGTACATCAGTTTCCACTAGACTATATGCACGTAGTTTGTCTTGGCGTGACAAAATCAGTTTTAGTGGCTTTAGCGAGAGGACATTCCTTTTCTTTGAAACGACACTAACTAACCTCGCTTAATAATAAACCAATACGCATCTTACCAAGAGAATTCAATAGAGAAGTTAGATCTTTAGACAATCTCGACAGATTTAAGGCAACGGAGTTTCGTATTTTTTATATATAAGGGTATATTGTATATAGGGGAATATTGTATTTGTGCAATATCCATATGTATGTAACAGGCAGAAGGAAGCACCTCCGACCCGATAAACTATATATATTCTTGATCAGCATCAATAGTCGAGTCGATTTCGCCATGTCCGTCTGTCTGTCCGTCCGTCCGTCAGCTCGTCCGTCAGTTCGTCCGTTCGTCCGTCCGTCCGTATGTATGAACGCTAGGATCTTAGAACCTATTAGAGCTAGAGACTTGAAATTTTAGATGTAGGTGCTCCTAGTTCCGATAATAGATAACTTACTCCGCAAAAATCTCTACCAAAAATCTAACTTACCTCTGATTGGGCCTAGCAACTTTTTTTATTTTTTTTTGTTTCAGTTTCTCTTATTAGGTTCAGTTTCTCAATTAATTATTGCGGCCAACTGGCGGCTGAGAAGTGGAAACGATATGGGCACTTAGAATTTCTATTATAAATGATGCTTCAGAAAATACTGATCCTAAGAGGTTAAGCGCGATTGTAAATAGGCGCACGTTCTTACTTTTTTAAGTGAACCTTTCTTCACGGTGGACCGAAGGTAAAAGAAAAATCTGAGCTCCGATCGCCTTAGGGGAAGCTAACAGCGACACCAGGACAGACGCCATTTCCAATTATCAAATCAACTTTCCTCTACAATTTTTCTGTTTCAGCGATATCACGCCTGGGTTGAGCCAAAGATGGTGAGACTAGGGTAAGCAAGGTACAAGACCTTGACTGGATTTACATTGTCTATTTTTGGGCTGTTTATCTAAACTCAAACAAATTATTCTTGCTTCAAGCGCCACTACAATATTCTCTTCTAAAGAACTCAATTTTGACTCAAAAGTAGTGCTACAAAAGGTTGAAAAAATATCATGCAAAATATTTCGTTTCAAAGAAATTGGTATACACACTTTCTTTCCTTTAATTGAATACACATAATAATGAGGTCATCATACAATTTTGTGTTGGATGGCAGCAAAAATGGAGGAGGAAACGACAATAGTCCAAATTACAGTATAGGTAACATATTAACAGAATTTTACATTTTATACATTTCATATTTATTTTTATTTCATCTGTATTTAGGATTACTTAATAATCCAGCAAATATTAAGTAAATAATATTCCACAAGGCCAATTCAATCATTCCGGTAATGTAATGAAAACAATTGCTTCAATTCTGCGTGAGACCCCTTTGACGTTCCCTTCCTGGTTCCTCTTTCCGTAGGTAGTCGGGCAGCCGGGTCTTTCTTTCTGACGTGGGAGGCCTTCCTCCGGTTCCCTCTTGCTATTCTCCTTCTGTTGCCGAACAGGTGCTCCCCTTTCATGACCTGGGAGGCCTTCCTCCGGTTCTTGATCTTTTCTGCAATCGGTTGCCGAGTTGGCACTCCCGCTCCTTCGCGCGTGAGGCCTTTTTTCGGCTCTTCCCTGGTTTCAGGCCCCGCGGCCGGAGACGTCACCGCCTCTAGGACCAGCTCCAGCTTGCTGCAGCGTATCATAGTGCCCATTGCACCCAAGAAGTCCATCCCCAGGATGACGTGGTCCAGCACTGCGGGCATGATAAGCATTAACATGCTGACTGTCTTCCCCGCTAGGCCGACGTCTATCCTCAAGGCCTTCCCTAATTCGAGCGTGGACCCATCTGCCAGTAGAATGCGCGCCTGTACGTTCTCCACTATCCCCCGAACCGCCCACATACGTACGCAGTCTTCATTCATGAAGCTGCGAGTGGCCCCTGTGTCGATGGTAGCAGCCATCGCCCGCCCGCCAATCTCCACCGTGGCGACGATCCGGCCGCCCTCCACCTTAAGCGGGTGTACTACTACCGCGTCCCGTATGTGTTGGCGTCGACCCGACCCTTGCCTGGGCGACGCCGTTCCCGTTTCACGCCTCCGTGCGGCGACAACAATCCTGAATACTTCTGCCCCGGTGCCCACATACCCAACAAAACAAAACGGGTGCATTGGGACATTCCCTGGCATAGTGCCCCTCCTGTGCGCACCTGGGACATGCTCGTCGCGGATCATACCCGGTTCCGGCCTCTTGGTTCATCATTCGATGAGCCACTTGCGCAGGATCCGTCGCCGGCGGGGCGAGGGCTTGTCTATCCACAAAGAGTCGCTCCGGATCCGATGTGGGAGTAGTCCGGAATGGATTAAGGTGTCCGCCCGGGGGCTGTACCGTCCTTTCCCACTCCGCGCTACTTGAGCTCGCGACCACCTGACTCCCTGGTTGAATTCGTCCCACTGTACAGCCTCTGTCGCGACGCCTTAACGGCCCTTCGACGTCGACGTCGGCTGCGGCGCGCGTCTGTGCACACGTGTGCAAGCGTGGTCTCGCTGTCGCCCGTCTGGCGGGCGCACGCTGTACTTTTTCGATCGTCGTTATTTTTCTCGATGTTCACTCTGTGTAGTCGATTCTGCTCAGATTTTGTTCGCCTAGGTTGTGCAGGTGTTCATTTCTGCCTAACACAGGGTATGAAGGGTATGAACAGGGTATGAACAGTAGCCTCGCACTAGCTGCACTAGCGGGCCTACGCACGCACCGGCACACGCTGCTGCGGACCTTCGACCGTTCCGGTCCCCGAACGAAACTTCTTCGGGGCCGTCGGTGGCGACCTTTCAGGGCTGGTTATGCATCGGCTCCCACTTTGATGGCGCTAATTGCAGGTGGCCGCGGGCCGACGGTGGCTGTTACGCCGGCGTTTCCCGCCCGGTCCTTTCCCTGTGCTCGCCCTCCCAAGCTTCGAGCGCCCAGAACGGGGTGCCCTAGCCTCCTCGGGAACCTTTGGCCAGTAGCGCAGCTTTCTTCGGGGGAACTGGCTCCCGGGCTCCACCTCTAGACGATGGGTGGTGAAGCGGCGGCGGAAGGCCGGTTCGCATCCCTCGTCCTCTGTCAGCATCTGATTAGCCGGCGGGGGCTTTGGCACCGTCGGGCTCCCCTCCGCTGTAAGACCCGGGCTGCGGTTCGTCTGGTCCGTCTTCGTACGGGCCACTGGGACGTAGCTTGCTGCCTCCATCGGGGCTGACTCCGTCTCTGCCGCCGACGGGAAGATTCTCGCCTTCTCTACGTCCATCGGCACGAATTGCGCGGAGGACCTGTGCCTGCCCGTTTTGAACGATTGGGGTTCCTCCTCGTCCGCAGTCTCGCCCACCTCGCCGAATGACAACGGGATCGTCGTCCCAGACGACCTGGGCGAGTGTGACGCAAGTGGGGGGGACGGGGGCTCTTCATCACGCGCCATTGCAAAAGTCCTTTTCCGGGGACCGTGTAAGCCGTACATTCCTGACTATCGGCTGCCATCGGTATCTGCCAATACCCGTGCTTCAAATCCAGAGTGGAAATGAGCCGGGCGTGACGCAACCGCTCAAGGATGTGATAAATTCTGGGAACAGGATAAGCATCTGGGATTGAATGCGCGTTGAGTTGCCGGTAGTCGATGCACATGCGCCATTCGCCAGCCTTCTTCTTGACTAAGACGATTGGGGCGCTGTGCGGATTGCGCGACGGCTCGATGGCACCTGCCCGTATCAGCTCATCTACCTGTTCGTCAATCAACCTCTGCATGGCCGGATTCTTCGGATAATATCGCTGGTTTAATGGCTTGTCGTCCTTTAGCCGGATCCTGTGCTCCGCGATATGCGAGACTCCCTGCGCCCCCGCAAATAGTGCCAGATCCGACTCCAGGAACTCCCTAAGTTCCGGATCCAGATCAGCTGGCCACTCAGCCTCCTCGGTGCCGGGCTCGCTGCGCGTCTCACCACCCCCTTGCACCACTCCATTGATGGTAACCCCTCCGTTATCTGGCCCTTTCCGTGCCGCCTCTACGACCAGCGTAGACCTGTCGCTGAAAGTCTACACGCCGCCTTTTGGACTCTTTAAGCGCTTGGTTCAATTCTGCGTGAGACCCCTTTGACGTTCCCTTCCTGGTTCCTCTTTCCGTAGGTAGTCGGGCAGCCGGGTCTTTCTTTCTGACCTGGGAGGCCTTCCTCCGGTTCCCTCTTGCTATTCTCTTTCTGTTGCCGAGCAGTTGCTCCCCTTTCATGACCTGGGAGGTCTTCCTCCGGTTCTTGCTCTTTTCTGCAATCGGCTGCCGAGTAGGCACCCCCGTTCCTTCGCGCGTGAGGCCTTTTTTCGGCTCTTCCCTGGTTTCAGGCCCCGCGGCCGGAGACGTCACCGCCTCTAGGACCAGCTCCAGCTTGCCGCAGCGTATCATAGTGCCCATTGCACCCAAAAAGTCCATCCCCAGGATGACGTGGTCCAGCATTGCAGGCATGATAAGCATTAACGTGCTGACTGTCTTCCCCGCTAGGCCGATGTCTATCCTCAAGGCCTTCCCTAATTCGAGCGTGGACCCATCTGCCAGTAGAATGCGCGCCTGTACGTTCTCCACTATCCCCCGAACTGCCCACATACGTACGCAGTCTTCACTCATAAAGCTGCGAGTGGCCCCTGTGTCGATGGTAGCAGGCACCGCCCGCGCGGCAATCTCCACCGTGGCGACGATCAGGCCACCCTCCACCTTAAGCGGGTGTACTACTACCGCGTCCCGTATGTGTTGGCGTCGACCCGACCCTGACCAGGGCGACGCCGTTCCCGTTTCGCGCCTCCGTGCGGCGACAACAATCCTGACTACTTCTGCCCCGGTGCCCACATACCCAACAAAATAAAACGGATGCATTAGGACATTCCCTGGTATAGTGCCCCTCCTGTGCGCACCTGGGACATGCTCTTCGCGGATCATACCCGGTTCCGGCCTCTTGGTTCATCATTCGATGAGCCACTTCCGCAGGGGCCGTCGCCGGCGGGGCGAGGGCTTGTCTATCCACAACGATCGCTCCGGATCCGATGTGGGAGTAGTCCGGAATGGATTAAGGTGTCTCCCCGGGGGCTGTACCGTCCTTTCCCACTCCGCGCTACTTGAGCTCGCGACCACCTGACTCCCTGCCCTGCTTCCGGAATATTCCGCTCGCTGTCTCATCACCGTTTCATACTCCACTGCCAGCTGGTTCAGCTGTGTCAGCGTGGAGAAATCTTGCTGCCGCACGTAGAGTTTGTATTCGGAAGCAGCGTTTTGGTAGATCCGGTGCAACTCCTGCACCGGCTCGTACCTGGCGTGGTGCATCAGAGCTCTCAGCTCTATCAGGTACTCCTTGAACTCCTCCCCCACGCGTTGCCTGCGGGACCGGATCTCGTCCTCAAGCCTTTCGAAGTAGCGTGGGGGTAGGAAGAACTCCAAGAAACTCCTCCTGAACACCGACCATGGCACATCTCTAAGCCCGCTGCTCAAGAACCACCAAGGCCCTGTCGAAAAACACCTCGCTCATTACCCCTGGCAATCTATCGAGGGCTATACCATACGTAATGGCTCGTTCCTTTAGGTCCTCCAAGAACCCAAGGGTGTCGGAGCGGCCATCGTATCTCATGCCCCACTTCCGAACTTGTTCCGGAACGTTTGAGAAAGGCCTAACCTCCGGCCGAGAATATTGTTGGGGAGCGTAGGGGACGTCATAAGGGTCCGTCGGGTTCCGCCCCATACCCCCGTTGATCGTGGTGCCTCGGCGATCCCCGTTTTCCTCGGGATCGGAAGCCTCTTCCACCCCCGTGACGGCCACACCAGGGATAGACGGCTGCGGAAGCCCATATAATTGCGAGCTCCTAAGGTCAGGCTCCGACTTTTGGCGCGGTCGTCCAGCCACGTCAGACGGGTAGCGCTTCCAACGTTTCTGCGAATTGAGACTCCAGCTCGGCGAGACGAGCCCAGATCTCAGGCGAATGGTAACCCTCCTGCACGTAGGTAGACAGCCGCCTACGCAGCTCTTCCACACGCACTTTCTTTTCTAGCCCGAACTCCTGGGGGATGGTCACCAGCTCCTCCTTGCGTCGCTGGTGGATCCAACGCACGCCTACCCCTAGGTTTTAACACTCACCTGATTCCATTTTAGGTTTTTTTATTTTTTTTTTTTTTGTTGGTCACTCCACCAAAAATAAAACTAAAATTTCACTGATTATTATTGTTATTATTTTCAGGGTTCTGTTTCTTCATAGATTTTTTTTTTTTTTTTTTATGCCGAGGTATATATTGTAATATATATTTTATTATTATTATTATTTTTTTTTTATTTGTTTTTGGTCACGCCACCAAAAAAAAATAAACCAAAATCAGTCACTTTTGGTTTCCTTAAGCTCGACTTCTCACTTAGTTACTTTAGTTTTGTTCAGTTTTAAACACTCTAGTTCTCGTTGCTTGCGTTGGCTGTACTGACAAACCCAACTTTTCACCGCACGCGAGTTGAATTCGTCCCACTGTACAGCCTCTGCCGCGACGCCTTAACGGCCCTTCGACGTCGACGTCGGCTGCGGCGCGCGTCTGTGCACACGTGTGCAAGCGTGGTCTCGCTGTCGCCCGTCTGGCGGGCGCACGCTGTACTTTTTCGATCGTCGTTATTTTTCTCGATGTTCACTCTGTGTACTCGATTTTGCTCAGATTTTAATCGCCTAAGTTGTGCAGGTGTTCATTTCTGCCTAACACAGGGTTTGAAATGAATACAGACCAAATCCTACCTCCCTTTCTATACTAGCGGGCAGTAGCCTCGCACTAGCTGCACTAGCGGGCCTGGGTCACGCACCAACTACATCATTGGGCCTTGGCCTCGCACCAACTACATTAGCGGGCCTTGGCCTCGCACTTCCTGCACTAGCGGGCTACAGCCTCGCTCCTCCTGCACTGCCGGACCTTAGCCTCGCACCAACTACACTAGCCCTCTAGGTTAGGGTGAATCTCCGATATTTCTGATGTTTAGTACATATAGGTAACCGCCCGAGGATATAAAGTCAGCATATTCTTTTCATAACTTGATTGTCTCCTCTTTATTGCTAGTTGTATTCACTTATTCCTTATGAGTTTTCTAAACTAAAGCCCTGCCGCACTGCTTTGGAGCCCCAGCGCTCAGCTGGACACTCATTTGTTATCACTCGCGCTCCTTGCTCGACACGTCTACTCACTCTAATCGTTGTCAAAAAAAGTGCCGGCTCGCTAGCGAAACCGGCACACGCTGCTGCGGACCTTCGACCGTTCCGGTCCCCGAACGAAATTTCTTCGGGGCCGTCGGTGGCGACCTTTCAGGGCTGGTTATGCATCGGCTCCCACTTTGATGGCGCTTATTGCAGGTGGCCGCGGGCCGACGGTGGCTGTTACGCCGGCGTTTCCCGCCCGGTCCTTTCCCTGTGCTCGCCCTCCCAAGCTTCGAGCGCCCAGAACGGGGTGCCCTAGCCTCCTCGGGAACCTTTGGCCAGTAGCGCAGCTTTCTTCGGGGGAACTGGCTCCCGGGCTCCACCTCTAGACGATGGGTGGTGAAGCGGCGGCGGTCTGTCAGCATCTGATTAGCCGGCGGGGGCTTTGGCACCGTCGGGCTCCCCTCCGCTGTAAGACCCGGGCTGCGGTTCGTCTGGTCCGTCTTCGTACGGGCCACTGGGACGTAGCTTGCTGCCTCCATCGGGGCTGACTCCGTCTCTGCCGCCGACGGGAAGATTCTCGCCTTCTCTACGTCCATCGGCACGAATTGCGCGGAGGACCTGTGCCTGCCTGTTTTGAACGATTGGGGTTCCTCCTCGTCCGCAGTCTCGCCCACCTCGCCGAATGCTAACGGGATCGTCGTCCCAGACGACCTGGGCGAGTGTGACGCAAGTGGGGGGGACGGGGGCTCTTCATCACGCGCCATTGCAAAAGTCCTTTTCCGGGGACCGTGTAAGCCGTATACTCCCGACTATCGGCTGCCATCGGTATCTGCCAATACCCGTGCTTCAAATCCAGAGTGGAAATGAACCGGGCGTGACGCAACCGCCCAAGGATGTGATTAATCCGGGGAACACGATAAGCATCAGGGATTGAATGCGCGTTGAGTTGCGGGTAGTCGATGCACATGCGCCATTCGCCAGTCTTTTTCTTGACTAAGACGATTGGGGCGCTGTGCAGATTGCGCGACGGCTCGATGGCACCTGCCCGTATCAGCTCATCTACCTGTCCGCCTCTGCATGGCCGGATTCTTTCGGATAATATCGCTGGTTTAATGGCTTGTCGTCCTTTAGCCGGATCCTGTGCTCCGCGATATGCGAGACTCCCTGCGCCCCCGCAAATAGTGCCAGATCCGACTCCAGGAACTCACTAAGTTCCTGATCCAGATCAGCTGGCCACTCAGCCTCTTCGGTGCGGGGTTCGCTCCGCGTCTCGCCTCTTCCTTGCACCAGTCCATTGATCGTAGCCCCTCCGTTATCTGGCCCCTTTCCGTGCCGCCTCTACGACCAGCGTAGACCTGTCGCTGAAAGTCTACACGCCGCCTTTTGGACTCTTTAAGCGCTTGGTTCAATTCTGCGTGAGACCCCTTTGACGTTCCCTTCCTGGTTCCTCTTTCCGTAGGTAGTCGGGCAGCCGGGTCTTTCTTTCTGACCTGGGCCTTCCTCCGGTTCCCTCTTGCTATCCTTTTTCCGTTGCCGAGCAGGTGCTCCCCTTTCATGACCTGGGAGGCCTTCCTCCGGTTCTTGCTCTTTTCCGCCGAGTAGGCACTCCCGTTCCTTCGCGCGTGAGGCCTTTTATCGGCTCTTCCCTGGTTTCAGGCCCCGCGGCGGGAGACGTCACCGCCTCTAGGACCAGCTCCAGCTTGCCGCAGTGTATCATAGTGCCCATTGTACCCAAGAAGTCCATCCCCAGGATGACGTGGTCCAGCATTGCGGGCATGATAAGCATTAACATGCTGACTGTCTTCCCCGCTAGGTCGACGTCTATCCTCAAGGCCTTCCCTAATTCGAGCGTGGACCCATCTGCCAGTAGAATGCGCGCCTGTACGTTCTCCACTATCCCCCGAACTGCCCACATACGTACGCAGTCTTCACTCATAAAGCTGCGAGTGGCCCCTGTGTCGATGGTAGCAGGCACCGCCCGCGCGGCAATCTCCACCGTGGCGACGATCAGGCCACCCTCCACCTTAAGCGGGTGTACTACTACCGCGTCCCGTATGTGTTGGCGTCGACCCGACCCTGACCTGGGCGACGCCGTTCCCGTTTCGCGCCTCCGTGCGGCGACAACAATCCTGACTACTTCTGCCCCGGTGCCCACATACCCAACAAAATAAAACGGATGCATTAGGACATTCCCTGGTATAGTGCCCCTCCTGTGCGCACCTGGGACATGCTCGTCGCGGATCATACCCGGTTCCGGCCTCTTGGTTCATCATTCGATGAGCCACTTCCGCAGGGGCCGTCGCCGGCGGGGCGAGGGCTTGTCTATCCACAACGATCGCTCCGGATCCGATGTGGGAGTAGTCCGAAATGGATTAAGGTGTCTCCCCGGGGGCTGTACCGTCCTTTCCCACTCCGCGCTACTTGAGCTCGCGACCACCTGACTCCCTGCCCTGCTTCCGGAATATTCCGCTCGCTGTCTCATCACCGTTTCATACTGCCAGCTGGTTCAGCTGTGCCAGCGTGGAGAAATCTTGCCGACGCACGTAGAGTTTGTATTCGGAAGCAGCGTTTTCGTAGATCTATCAGGTACTCCTTGAACTCCTCCCCCACGCGTTGCCTGCGGGACCGGATCTCGTCCTCAAACCTTTCGAAGTAGCGTGGGGTTAGGAAGAACTCCAAGAAACCCCTCCTGAACACCGACCATGGCACATCTCTAAGCCCGCTGCTCAAGAACCACCGAGCGGCCCTGTCGAAAAACACCTCGCTCATTACCCCTGGCAATCTATCGAGGGCTATACCATACGTAATAGCTCGTTTCTCTAGGTCCTCCAAGAACCCGAGGGTGTCGGAGCGGCCATCGTTTCTCATGCCCCACTTCCGAACTTGTTCCGGAACGTTTGAGAAAGGCCTAACCTCCGGCCGAGAATATGATTGGGGAGCGTAGGGGACGTCATTAGGGTCCGTCGGGTTCCGCCCCATACCCCCGTTGATCATGGTGGCTCGGCGATCCCCGTTTTCCCCGTGATCGGAAGCCTCTTCCACCCCCGTGACGGCCACACCAGGGATAGACGGCTGCGGACGCCCGTATAATTGCGAACTCCTAAGGTCTGGCTCCGACTTTTGGCGCGGTCGTCCAGCCACGTCAGACGGGTAGCGCTTTCAACGTTTTCGCGAATTGAGAATTGAGGTCGGCGAGATTAGCCCAGATCTCAGGCGAATGGCAACCCTCGAGCACGTAGGTGGACAGCCGCCTACGCAGCTTTTTTGGACACGCCACTAAGAAAAATAAACCAAAATCAGTCACTTTTGGTTTCCTTAAGCTCGACTTCTCACTTAGTTACCTTAGTTTTGTACAGTTTTAAACACTCTAGTTCTAGTTGCTTGCGTTGGCTGTACTGACGATCCCAACTTTTCACCGCACGCAGGTTGAATTCGTCCCACTGTACAGCCTCTGCCGCGACGCCTTAACGGCCCTTCGACGTCGACGTCGGCTGCGGCGCGCGTCTGTGCACACGTGTTCAAGCGTGGTCTCGCTGTCGCCCGTCTGGCGGGCGCAGGCTGTACTTTTTCGATCGCCGTTATTTTTCTCGATGTTCACTCTGTGTACTCGATTCTGCTCAGATTTTGTTCGCCTAGGTTGTGCAGGTATTCATTTCTGCCTAACACAAGGTATGAAATGAATAAGGACCAAATCCTACCTCTCTCTCTATACTAGCGGGCAGTAGCCTCGCACTAGCTGCACTAGCGGGCCTGGGTCACGCACCAACTACATCATCGGGCCTTGGCCTCGCACCAACTACATTAGCGGGCCTTGGCCTCGCATTTCTTGCACTAGCTGGCTACAGCCTCGCGCTTCCTGCACTAGCGGGCTACAGCCTCGCGCCTACTGCACTGCCGGACCTTAGCCTCGCACTAACTACACTAGCCCTCTAGGTTAGGGTGAACCTCCGACATTTCCGATGTTTAG